GATTGCTTACGTGGCAACTATGACCAGTGCACAGTAAAGTAACTATATCAATATTTAGAGTAACCTCTACTTTAGTTCTAATTAACTGAAGATGATTACACCTTTGAGTACAAAACAATCCCCATGTTACAAAGCACGTTTAGTGGCACGGGGCTTCGAGCAACGGCACGACTACTTTAGTTCTAATTAACTGAAGATGGTTACACCTTTGAGTACAAAACAATCCCCATGTTACAAAGCACGTTTAGTGGCACGGGGCTTCGAGCAACGGCACGACGTTGATTACAACAAAACTTAATTAAAGTTCACGTAATTATTGTGATATTGTATGTTGATGACATTCTCATCACGTGCAGCAGTCAAAAGTAAGCGCCTCACATGCAACGCCTCATCAACGATCTCAAATCAAAATTCTCAATGACTAAACTCAGCCCTGTGCGCAAATACCTTGGTGTGAAATTTCATCGAACACCACATGAACTAAACGATGTCTGGTGCACTGCACCAGACATCGTTTGTTCACGAGATTCTTCAAGAATTTGCACATTCAGACTATCGCCCCTGTCACATTTCCTTGAATGAAAATCTGCGACCGCGCCGCGACAACGGGACTGCTCCCGTGGATTCCATAGCTTACGGCCGCTTCATTGGCAAAATCATGTACGCGGTCAAGACACGCGTAGCCATAGCTTTTGCCACCAACATGGTCAGCCGGTATATTTCTGCACCTCAAATCACTCACCACACAGCAGCCAACGGCATCCTCATATACTTAAGCAAGCACCCTTTCATATAGATTTTTTTTGCAACAGCGGAGAAAAATTTCCTTGCATGATATACTAATGCAAACTTCAACCAAGACGAGGACAACCGGACCTCAATAGGTACCTACGTTTTCTTCCTCGGAAACACTCCCATTTCATGAAGCTGCAAGAAGCAAACCATCACAAGTCGTTGTAGCCATGAGTCCAAATACCGTGCACTTAGCAACTGCACAAGTGAAGCAGTTTGGATCCGCATGCTACTTCGACAACTACAGCCTCTACCTAAGGGAGCGACTCCAATTGGCGTCGACAACCAGAGCGCGATCAAACTCACCCGCACCCAGTCTTTCATGATCGCACTAAACACTTTGAAGTTAATCTTCATTTCTCAAGTCAGAAGGTCGAGACTGGCAAAATCACAGTGAACTACGTTCCCATAAACGAACAGCCCGCCGACACACTCACCAATGCATTGGACATAACCAAATTCAAAGTCGGAAGGAACCTGCTTAATCTCAAAAATCTTGCCGAGACATCCTAACATTACAAGCCAAGATTTGATCACTTCACAGGCTGGATCGGCATGGTAGCCCCACAACAATCGTCCGTGCTGTGACTTAAGCCAAGATTTCATTTGCGTGTTAGTAAGCATAGATTAGTTGAATTTTGTTTAATTTCTCATTTCTTGCGTTTTCTCGACAAGAATCATTGACAAGAATCTTGTGCGCAAGTGAGTATGTTAAACAGTGTGTGCCCACTTTGTCTTATTTCCTCCTAGTTTTTAGTTACATTCTCTGGTTCCACCCTTCCCTACTCGGGTACTTACGTGTTCCTTCACCTTAAGCTAATTGAACGATATGTTTCCCTCACAATGATCTCTGTGAGTATAGTGCATCATTTGTGTTTCAACACATGCTTCATTTGCTAGAGACTTTTTGGCTGCAACAAGAAGATGAGAACACCGAGTTCATTTCGTCGTTGTGGCGCATGCAAGACAATGTCAACATGCTCATCAAATGGTTCATTTGTACTTCAAGGATGTTTTCATCTAGCTTAGGGATTTTTTTAATGTGTTTGTAGACTTGTTTTACTTCTTTTGTAGGGTATACAATATACAATATCAAATTGCCAGATTTTTGAGACCAAACAAAATATTGAATTACAAAGTATTATTGGATTAAGTTTGGGCACAATATTTGGACCGGCCTATAATATTGACTTGGGAAGATTATTAAATTAGATAGTGTTGTTTTAAAATGGTTTTACTCTAGCTACATTGTTGAATAAATCTATCTAGAAATGTTTCAAAAGTTGTGATTGATCATAGAGAAGCTGCATTGTCAACAAATCCAAACATAAAAAAGTTACATTGTAGAAGAAACTAAATATAGAGAGTATGCATAGTTGAAATCATCCAAACATACAAAAATTACACTGTCAAAGAAACGTAACATAGAGATTTTACACTATTGAAGTTACACTATCAAAGAAATCAAACATGAAATGATTCAATAAAATCTCGCAATCATAGCAAAAAAACTAAGCAAAAAACAACTTAATGAGTTACATCAATGCAATATCATTGAAAACCTAAGTAAAAAAACTTCTTTGAGTAAAAAAGTGTACAACACGTGAGAACGATGTAAATAGAAAATTTATGAAATAGGTGTGAAACAAAGGAGAGGAAATTTCAAAGCAATATATTTTAATGTGTGATGAAGTTAAAAAAAGAATTTTTTATGATCTATTGGTCATTTTACCAAATTTTATTTCATGGTAATTTCATCTGTGACACTTGTTACTCAAAAAGCTTCGTATAAGTCATCTCAAGTCATGTTTGTGATGAATGATCCAAAATTTATTTTGAAAGTTGTCAAATTTTTCTAAATCCTGCTTGTGTCTCCTAAAAGTCTTTAGCTTTTTGCATGCGATTCAAGATTTCTTTTGCATTATATTTTAATAGGCCAATCATTCATTGGATTTTTGATGATCTGAATGTAAAAAAATGTAGCTACATTTGAGTTGCGACTCCTAATAATTAGAAAATGATGCGTTGCAAATTAATTTTTTCTAGTTCGATAGCGTCAAATCGTTATTGTTTAAGTCATTGAGAACATGACAATAAAACATGAAATCCCAAAGATCATGTGTCCAAATAATTCACATACTCGTCCATACTCTTCATCTTGAAAGTTTTGCAAAACACAAGTTTCAAGTTACAAATGAGGTCAAAAAGTTTAGTTTCACTAACTTTTGTTGAAGTCTCATCAATGTTTATACTTTATACAAATCTAAGGTACTTTGTGATGATCTTGAAGTGATCACTTCATGATTGTTATGAGAACCTAAAGATAATTCCAGGATGTGACTGAGATCTCTTACCTATAAGTAGACACATTATAAGTATAGTACAACAAAAAAGTTGCGATTTGGCTACTCATGCTTTTTGTACAATATGAAGCATTGATTCATATTTGACACTGTGCAAATGTTCAAAAGTATAGAACCTTGCAATTGATTATTATAAATCTTGCAAACCTATATGTTAAAAAGTTGAAAGTATGATTGAATTTACCTACAACCAGCATATACTATTCAAATGAAGTTACTTTGAAATAATTACTTAAGATATAAACATTTTAGTATTATTTTTTGTTCTTGAACTTATCAACAATATGACATTTATTGCAAAATGAGAGTAGAAAATATTTACAAATCAAATATATAGAAGATAAGAAGTATTTTTCTTTCTAATGAAGTAGTGATGAAGTTAAAACTCGCATGGAAATACAAGCATTACATTAAAGCTTGAAAGTTAATGATTATCAAATAATCTCAACTTCATGACTAATTGTGATAAATCTATCATCATCAATTTTCTTTTTGATAGTATTCTTCAAGTCATCTTGATACTACTAGACACTTCATCATATCATTTGTTCATCATAATGAAAGCATCACTAGTCATCGCAAATAGAGATGCCATTAACATGTGCCATCATGAAATGTTACTAAAAATGAATACGGATTCTCTTGAAAAATAAGCACAATTGGCAACCTTAGTACAAAACCAACATCAAACAAATGTACCTTTTTAGGAATCTCTTTAATGGAATCAATTATATAACAAACATACCAAGAGCTTAATTTGATACCTTCAGTTTAGGATACATGGTGCTTTGATTAAAACAAAAATTACAACTTAGATTGCTTCAAACCATACAAACACACTCTGCAAATAATACGTGAATGAATTAACTCTCTTAGCTCATTGTTGAAAAAGTAAGGTTCTAATCCTTATGGACGTTAATTGTAGACTGTGCTTAAAACATGCTCCTTGCCATTACCATCAACTTGCGACTAGTGTCCTCTAAAGATTTGACGTAATGTCCTAAATACTATTTCCAGCAGAATTGTGTGTGAGAGCTTTAACAATATTAGACTAACAATCTTACAAGTCGAATACGAAAAAAACATTTAGTCTATCATGAAATATTAGTGAAGTAATCTTGAGCTTTTGATAAATCTTGATGCATACTTAGTGAAAAAATCTTGAGGTAAAGCAATGACCCCATTGTCGAACACATTTTGAGCACTATGTCCATATCAAGACGTGTGTTTGCTGCTATAGTGCTCCTATAGACAGATGATGTAACGCAGCTCCACAGAGTATTGATCGCCGTAAGAGAATTCCATTGCATTCAAACCTTCACTAGATATAATAAGATGTATGAATGATGAAATTTATAGTTACATGATAAACTTGCAGAGTTATACGTTATGATATTCGGAACCTCTTCCATGCAAACACAATGACGACCCGTACTACCGCCAGACTGTACAGCTCACCGAGTGAGACTGATCTTCCGCAACTCCAAGCTCACGTCAACAGCATCTGACCGTCCGTCGCCTGTTCTACTAATCGTGGCCCTGGGTTTGCCCTGGAGCCGGTTACTTCAAGATCTGTACCTCCGATTAGCGTAAGACATGGATTTACTCTGCCTAATCGGCCTCGGTCTTATCATCGGCGAGATCCTCGCCGTTAAGATTTGCTGTAAGCACATTTGACAAAAGTTATCGGGCGCGTCCAAGGTAACCTCAACAGCTGTGAGAGATCGCAGCCGTCTAATTCTAACGGAAGTAAATGCCGACCGTCCAGTGTGGCGCGCGGCTTCCGTACTGGAGTCGAGACGCCTTCTGCCGTTCCTCTCGTCTAGTTCTCATCAGTTCCTTCCCGGCAGCTCGAGCTCAAGGGTTTCGAGATTTTGCACTTGTCTGCACTCGCACACTCGTCGGGTCGATCGAAGGCTCGATTGACGCAGAGTCGTGACTTAGTGTCTGTCAGGTGCTCGTGCTTTCTTGTCGAGAATGGTTGAGCCCGTCTTTACGCAGGAAGTCGTAGGAATTTTGTAGAGTTTTTAGAAATTTCGTCGTTCCGATAATCTCTTACAAGGAGGACGCCGAAGGCGACGTGGAGGAGGTGGAGAAGACGGAGATGGCTGCAGCGGACGAGTATCGGTGTTTTGTCGGTGGCCTATCGTGGGGAACCACGGATAGAGCATTAGAGGACGCTTTTCGGCCTTACGGGACTGTCCTCGAAGCAAAGGTTCGTTCATTGAGTGAAGTCTCGCAAATCATCTCGTTTGTAGGGCTGTCGATACGATATGGTGGGGGTGCTACGCACCTCAACTCTCTGTGATGATATCTAGTGGCAAGTTCGTCGCCTTGACTACGAGATGTAGATTTGGTTTCCAGTATTCCCCGGGAACATGATGTCTGCCATATTAGGTTGATGTCCTTTCTTTGAAAACACGTGTCCTTCTCGAAATGGCTAGGGCGGTCGGTTTGCTTCTTTTCTGTCCATCGAGCTCGCTGAAAGACAGGAAGCTATGGCACCCGTCTCTGTCTAAGTAGTCTCTGGATCTTTCTTGAATATGACGACTTGCACGTCATGGGGCCTCGTCGCAAAGTTTTAGCCAAGGCGCACGTAGAACTTCGTTATCTAGTATGAACACCAAAACAGGCCGGAGGGTTATCCTGCTTCGTAGTACATGGAATGTTTCACAACGTTGTTGAAACTCCTACTTGAGATGGACGCTTTTGGTGCTTTTAGTGCTTCTCCAATTTTCTTGAAGCCCCCGCCCAATAGCAAACGGAAAAAGCCTTTAGAACTCCAAGTTTCAGACATCTGATTAATGCCCTCCTCTTGTCAGTGTCACAAGCGCCATCAAGCCTGAATTATACTTTCTTTACCTATAATGTCTTGATGTCTACTCCCAGGCCGACGCTTTTTTGAGGATCATCGACGCCGCTTACTTTATTTCGCGTTGGTAGGCCGTGTCTCTATATTTCTAGCTGACGAGTATAACCTTTTACAAGTGATGGTTCATTTTAGTCACGTCTGCTTTTTCGTACACTATTCGTTTCATAGTGCCCGGGACGCTTAGACCCGGGACGCTTAGATCACTTTACGAATGCTTTCGCAGTCAACACTTCCTTGTCAGCCTTCTAACGGACGCGAGTACAAGTATGTCAATTTCATGGGATTTTTTTATAATGCAGTCGATGGCAATTATATTTTGGGGATGCTAGGTGGACTAACAACAGTCCCAACATTGGGACTTCTTTACTTAAGAAATTTATCGAGTTAAACGACTCGGTCATTTGATCGATTTTCATCTACTTCTTTCTTTAAGGAGGAACATCGCTTCTAGGTTCTTACGCCATCTGTGAGGACTTTCGCTAATTCTCCCTGGAACACTACTCCACCGGTGCTTGTCCTGAATCCAACCACTGACTTCTGTTTTATTCACCCGTGCCCGATGCCATTCCCCTATCATCCCATTTTGCCTTAGGTCTATGTTGCTTGTGGAGATGATTACATACATCGTGTCTAGTGCAGTTCTCTAACCCGCTTCAACGCATAGCCTGTCATTGAGTTTGAGGGACATATTTACTTTAGCTGGTTGACTACTTTTTGAAAACTTATTGTGTATAGCACATGCTAACTGATGCAGCATGTGCCATAGCCAGTGTTTACTCTGGCTGTGGTCCCGCTCTTACTGGCTTGACGGCCGTGTCAGAGCTGAGGGTCATTAGTCCTTGTGAAAGAGCTTGCAAGCTGGTTTTGGTTTGTTGCACGAGCTTTTTCGCTCTTTGAAGGATGCTTCGCACTGTAATGTACACTAGCATCGGTCTCTTCATCTGCTCACCCAGTGCTCTCTTCATGTTTCTGGAGACAATGGTTGCAGTTGTTTGTGTGTTGAAACCTTGAGTCCCTACATTGTTGACTGTTTTTGCGGTTGCATTCAAAAAGGTATCAGGAAGCGCATATCGTTTTTGAGTGTGCAAGTGCACGCACTTCTATCCTAAAAGCGGCTGGTAGATGGTTTTAAAAAGTGGTCGTTGTCGGTTGCTCCTCATGTGTCGACGCTTTCAATACACTATCGTACTGTGATTCCTCTTCCGTCTATACGACGTAGGTGTGCGTTATACACTCTTACGTGGAACTGGATATTGTAACGAAGGAATGATGCCATGTGTGCTTGTTATTACGCGACCAGAGGGGGAGCGCTTTACGATTGAAGGGCTTGAACTCTCGAACCAATAGCGGATAGGAAAAATATAGTGATTGACGTGTTACAGAAGGTTCATTGTCACGACTGACCGTAGCGGATCAATCTGTCCCGTATGTCACCTGCTTTTGTGTTGTCTTGGAATAAGTTTTATAACTCTACTGTCACCACAGTACGTGACCTTTAGTGTTTGTAGATTTCCCTTCTCAGACCTCTGAGTGATGCTCTTTTGAGCCAGGTTTTTCGTGGCATAAACGTCAGTCACTAGTGGAAGTCCTCCGGTCTTTCTCGATTTAAGACTTGTTTTAGGACTACAGCTATTGTTGCGCGCAGCGGTCTGCATTGATTCCCTAGCGCAGCGGTACAATTCTCTTCCGGAATTGTATGCGTCCAAGATGCGTGAGCTTGTTTAGCTCGTTTGATTGTTTTGCAGTAGTCTTGATAGAAAATCGACTGATGTTTCCCGGCAAGTAAACTTGCATGCCTTCAAGAAGGCCAGTTCACTTGCAACTTTTGCCTACCTTTTGGTCAAATGCCTACATTTGACTGAACGTTCTGTTTTCTCGTGATGGAAGCCACTACTTAGTCCAGCGGGAACGGTCACGAGTTTAAGTTCAAGCAGCTGCAGTATTTGAGTTAATATGTGATGAGGCTCTGAATCTTCTTCGTGTTATTCGATGCTCAGGTTGTTGTGGATAGAGATACAGGCCGATCACGGGGTTTTGGATTTGTCACCTTTGCCGATGAGCGGTCAATGGATGAGGCGATTGATCGCATGCATGCCAAAGATTTGGATGGCAGACCGATTACTGTAAACAAGGCACAGCCGAAATCAGGAGGCGGTGGTGGTGGTAGCTACGGAGGCGGTGGTGGTAGTTACAATGGAGGGGGCAAGAGTTTTGGTGGAGGAGGCGGAGGCGGTGGTGGTGGAGACTGTTTCAAGTGTGGCCAACCTGGTCACTGGGCTAGGGAATGCCCTTCAAGCGGTGGTGGCGGAGGCGGGGGTCGTTACTCCTCTGGGGATCGAGGTTATGGCAGCAGCCGCGGTGACCGCTACAGCGGAGGAAGCGGTGGTGGGGGTGGTTACGGAAGCAGTCGGTATAGCGGAAGCGATCGGGACAGGCATGGTGGATCCGACCGTTACAATGGTGGAGACCGATACACAAGTGCTGGCCGTTCTGCGGGCTCCTCACACAGGGAAAGCGGAGTCGGTCGTGGAGGTGGTAGTGACAGATACAGTAGTGGCGGTCCATCTCGGTACGAAGGAGGTGGTCACAGGGACCGATCTGGGCCTTATGATCGCCCAAGTGGTGGCAGCAGCGGAGGAGCCAGATCTTCATACGACGATCGTTATTGACTTCAAAATTCGGAATTTCTGAATTGAGGCACTCATGTACCTTTAGGCTCGTTTTTGGCCCAGTGACTGGAGACCTGAACCCAAATCACATTGCCCATTTTCTGGCATGGCATCTCATTATACAAAGTGCCGGGAGTGACGGAGGGTACTCTCCACGGACAATTCATGTTTGACATGTTTCCGGAGAGGTTGTGGTGCATAGATCAGAGCGGCTTTTGTTTTATAATCAGCTTTGTCAGATGGTGCTGCTTGCTCATGACGTGTACGATTTGCCACTGGGAATGCTGTCCGTGGATGGTACTTTTCAGCCTCACCTTGCAAGAAATTCGAGGTTTAAGCTTAGTACCATGTCGTGGAGCTGTTGGGTCCTTTCCGGTGTCTGTATATCTATTGGTAACAAGATCAGACAAATGCAAGGAATCCGTGATCTCGGACCCCTCAGGCAACAAGCAGTGGTCATTTGACGTTTTCCTGGGCCTGCTTCATTGACCGTGTGGCAGGCAGAACTTTGTGTACATCTGAGAAGTAAGTTTGGCAATGAACAGCATTCGTGGTTAAGCTATTTGTGGCCTCGTGTTACGGTTATGGTGTCGAGCTTATCGATGTTGTTGAGAAGTTGGGTTTTGCTCATGTTTGCACGGTCACGGGCTACACTGGTTGATTGATTCGGGGTTTGGGCCTCTGCGTGTTTATTTCAAGTGAGAGGCTGCTGTTTGCATCAAGAGAAGGTTTGCCCGTGAGGTACGAGAGTTTACTTAGAGAACGTACTGTGTACACACCGCAACATGAGCTCCGTGGTCCCTTGGATGCCATTCCTTCTTCGGTTACAGTTTGGTGTCGGGGTTCGTCCGATGACTTCTTTCCTCAGAGGTAATCAGCCGAGCGCACTGGACCATGATTCGTCCACAGGAACTCCTGACCACTCTGGGGAGCCCGTGAATTTTGCTGCCACACTCTCGATGATTCCTGGAGAGCTCAATCAGTGAAGAAACATGCCTTATTGGTGGTCGTGCCTGCTTTGATCTATGAGATTTACAGTGTTCTAGTGGTCCAGCTGTCCTTACCAGTGTCAACTGGTGGACTCGGTGGAGGGGTTTTTCGTCCAGATAGCGGAAAGAGCTCTCTGGACTTCTTTGGTGAACTTTTGCTTCTCTGATAGACATCAAGGACCCGAGTATATGTGAGGACTTCTCTGGCAACAAAACCGGTCAAGCAGTTGGACTCAACTCAGCTGATGGAAGCCTCACGTTTCACGTTTCACGTTTCAGTGGCACACGTGGTAGCAGAACCTTCTCTTCTACAGTGCTGTTGAACAGCTGTCCGTGGGTATCTTCTCTAGTCTGTGAAACTGCGTATCGCGACTGTCATTGTTTGGGGAGATGAGCACAACTGTAACCGTCTAGTTTGGAGTTCATTGTTGGTGGTTGACTGGGGTTTCCAGACCGGGCGTGCCACCTTTGCGACTATTTCCAGTAGAGTTATTGAGCTCGTGAACTCTATTCGTGCTAGCGGATCGCCCAACAAAAGATGGAGTGTGGAGCTGTGAGCACTGACGCCTCATCACCCTGCCTCCTTCGAGTACATGGCCAGGTCTGATGGATCTGATTTTTGGTCTGCCATAAACGTTCAGCCCATCTTTACGGACACGCTTGTACACCTGAGCTTGGAGTGAACGTAGACCACATCTGAAAATCACTGTGAAGGCAAGTATATCATGTAGCGGGTTTTGATTACACATTCTGCACGGTGACCGTGAAGCCATTGACGCGGGGCGGTTTACAACCAGAGAAAGTAAGAGCTTCCCCATCAAGTGTAAGTTTTGAGATATTTCTCCACTGGCGGTAGGTCGAAACAGGTATTCTGAAGTTGGATACCGAAGGTGAGATGATGCATCTAGAGGTTTGTACTTTCCCCTCAGTCGGTCTATTTGGTTCGTATCCGATCTTTTTATTTTGGCCATTGCAACTGATAAGTGTGCTAACTAGCGTGATTGGTCAAGATTTTCCTACTAACGGTTGATTTTTAGAAAGTTCCTGAGATGTCTGTGCTTGTTATGAAATCTTCAGTCTGCAAGTGTCGATTATGTTTTATTGAGATCCTAGCTAATCTAAACTACAAAGCTGTTGAAGGATCTTCTCAGGCGCTTAGGTTTGTGCCTAGATACCTGCCTCATGGAGCTTCTGTTAGCGTGATAATAGATTTCTGGATACAGTCATGTGCTAGGTGAATAGTATTTATTCTAGGCATGAAGGAAGTATCAGTACCACCGGGGGTGGGGTGCCGGTGTTTGTAGCGTATTCAAAGATGCTAGCGTTCAAGAGGATTTTTGCCCCCCTATCGTAGAACATGTAGATCGGTGTAGCAATGACATGGGTTGCAGATTTGTAACAAAATCTGAGTTTTAGATTTTGTATTGAACTGGTGCATTTAGGCACGTAGTATAGTGGCTGAGTAGGCACTTTTTAGTCTGCCTTTTGCACGAATTCGTGTGCGTAAGTCGTTTTCCATGAAGAGCCTTTCACTATTTATGGAAATAAACTTGTGTTCTGACCTACGAAGGTCACTTTTCATTCACATGGATTCTCATGTATTGCTCCACCTGGCTTCCGTCATTTTTCTGCCGTGATATTGTTTGCATCTGACTGAAATCACACCCATTTAGTAGGATTCAACGTTCGTGGAGTGCGAGGCACAGCGACTTGGTTTTGAAAGAAGAAAATGTACCTTCTCTCGCAACCACTTTGTTATTGATCACCGCAGATAGTTGGCTAGACTTAAAGATCGTTTAGTGTTATGTTCATGCGATCCGAGATTGGTGTCCTTTGGAATTGAGCAAAAAATGCAGTTTTGAGTTAAGAAGTATAACTTCCGTGAGCGTCGGAAAGGGAAATTTGAGCTCAGGTTGAAAACCCGATCTGCAGTCTCGCGATTTTAAGTATGATCCTCATATTCTCTAGACAAACCTAATTAACCTGGAAAAATCTGCATATTCTCTACGAATGGAAGAATATGGATGTTGTTAGACAATGCCGTTGTGCGACCAAGTTGCTTGGTCGGACGACATACGAAAACGTCCTTCTCCATACCCGTCCTGCCTTCGAGGCGGGAAACAAACTCGGGACTGAAGTGCAGCCTAGACAGTAATACTTCTGCTCAGCCACTGGTCCAGGGTTTTATGCTGCAACTTGGAAATAGATTGTAGGTGGAATTGTTTCAAATCTGTACTGAGTTCGGAGTTCCATTTAACGTTATTAATGATCAACGTCTACACCGCGGAGCCAGAGCCAAGAAAGCACAAGTGTCATCTCTCAACTCACAGTTCCGGATAGTTGGTTTGTGCTGCAAGTAACTCCAGGCCGACGAGAAATGTCGTATTGCAGGCAAGCGGAGACTGATTAAACTACCGTCGATCGTGCATTACGCTACAGGTTAAGATGTAACAATGGATTCTTCACGTCCTAAGAAACACGAGGTCTTGCTGGCCTTTCTTTGTTCTCCCATCCTTTAACATCGACGAAGAAATCCTCATGAGTCAGACCCAGAAGTCACGAAAATTGCATTCTCATAACTTTTTTACACGATTTTGATGGACTGCTACACAGCTTGCAGAGAGTGCGTGTAAAGTATATGAACTAATTGAATTATTGAAAGGGGTGGCTAGTTATTGAAAGAGGTGGCTAGTTAGCCTCACCCTAGTATAGGGGATTCTCTGATTTGTCGAACACCGTACACTGATGGTTTACTCATCCGAGAAGAGTTTGGACTAATTAGCCTAAGTGAGCGATAACTCTACTTTATTCACATACTCAAGTTTTAAGTAAAAAATTGAAGAAGAATAGTGCAAGTTTACGGTATTCTTTTGGACTGAAGGAGAAAACAGAACTTTAACAAATTTATAAGGCCTAGATATAGAGGATAGATATTCCACACAGTTACATTTTTACAACCTAGAAATATCAACACTATCTTACTCATTCCACAAATTGTAAGAGTAAGTTTTGAAATTTAAAAGTAGAAACTTTTCTATACAGTACTTAAAACAATAAATTTCGACTTTTTTATTGTCATGAAATTTTCACAATCCAAATATGTGCTTTAGTTTTGGTCGAAACATTAATCACAGACGAAGTTTCATTTTTAAGACTTTACTGAGCTTGCTAATTTGAATTGAAGTTATCTTCTCTACGTGATATAATTAATTGATTGGACTTTTGTGGAGTTTAGGATCAGGCGTGGATTCAACGAGATTCATTTTACTCGATGTAAAATCACTTATGTTCCAATAAGAGTTCTTGTAATTAGATAGTTGAGCATCTTGACCAAAGTTTTCTCCTGAGAATCTAGAAATGATTGTTATGACAAAATGAACATATACCTTAACATATAAAAAGTTGTCACGCATACCTTCACATTACTAAATTAAATTTATGTTTGTGCTTTTTCCTTATCATTGTAAATCATCAACGGGAAGCTAGTTGTAATTATCGAAATTGTGAACTCGTTGCTTTATCCTCAAACTTCATTTCAAGAACTCTTTAATTACCCAAAAATCGCATTCGTGGATGACTCGATGGTGATTTTCAAACTTATTCACTTTAAATCAAGATAATTTGCGACCGATTTAGAAGCTCCGTTGGACATTGGACAGAGCAATGTTCTTTGTTTGACTCTTAGAAGCAGGTTGGGATCCTGTCCCTACAATGGGGTATACATAACTATAACCCGTATTGGAACATGGTTGACCTCATGCTACAATCCCGTCCAGAGACTCCCATCGGTCAAAATGAATTTCGGATCGCAACAAGTGTTTTGCATTACCGCAGGGGTACATCAATTAATTTTCTCGTACAATGTAAGTCTGATATTTTTCAACTCATCATGTGTTGTTCAAGCTTGATCTCATCTCAAGTATTCAAGCTATTAGCCACATAATAATTAATGATTCTTTCTCTTTCATGATACTCTTATGATCTCTAAGATCTAAGTTTACCGATAACATGATTTTCTCGATTTCAAACATATGAAATACATCAGTTTGGGTAATGGTATATTAACTCTGACATCAATCATGAACTCTTAATTGAAGATTAGGTTCCCTTTTGTGATAATCTGTACTCTTCCACCAATCAGTACCTCTTCAATTGAAGAGGTACTGATTGGTTCCATTGACCATAGATCAAACAATTGAATCCATGTTGAAGATCTCGTTAACAAATAATAATAATGATTCGTGGTTTTTCCAATTAACCAAGTTCGTTTTCTACGCAATTATCGTTAACATGATTATGGCTGGTTTGTGAAAATACTCAAGTCCCAACTTAAATCAACATATCATTTTTGGAGGATACTATTTGTCAGCTGAATTGATATATTACTGCATCTATCTTTGCAACGCAACATCAACCACATATATTGATTTAGGTGAACATAAAAAATCACATGAAAATGAGTGGGATTGATATTATCTTTTCTTCCAATTAATTTAATTTGTGCTGTAGCATTTCGACAATTAGTCCAAGAAGACAAGATAGTTGTACTGCTTGCCATGATCAGAAACCAAAAGTTCCTTTCAGTGGTGCTAAGACTGACATGGTGAAGTATATTCTACATTTGATAAGTCCAGCAAGTCTGAAGCAATCTTCCCAGAAGCTTGCTTTATCAATTCAAGATTGTTTAGTTAGTACTCAAAGCGGTATTTTACCAAAAATATCGTACTGTATTGCTTCGAGCCCTTTATGATCGCAGATTATGCAATAACCTGACAATCTGGAGGAGATATTTTCATAAAGGTCGAAGACTATACAATGTCGTGGGGTATCTTGGGCTATATATGACTTGTTTCTATTCGCAACGCGACGAGAAAAGAAGAGTCAAGATAGTGGGCTGGAGTACCCATAAACATAATCGTTCCTTCAAAGATTTTAGTTTTGTATTTTAGAATTTGTCTCATCTGCAATCGCATGCATTTATAACGCATCATTCTCCAATACTACGAGTGAAGAGCTCGTCATGTTGTAGTAAATTTAAAATGGTATGATCAGATTCCATAAGAGAATCATTTGTTGAACTTATGTGAATGATTATTTCTCCTAAATTTCATTTAAAGAAAAGTTTGAATTCTTACAAAGTGTAACTAGTTTTTTTTTGAAAAACATACATTATCTGAAATTTTTTTCATTAAAATAAAAATATTTTCATTTCAAATAATATTTTAATGATCCATCAATTCTTATTTTGAATACTTGCATTGAATGTATGGTACTTGAAGTTAATTGTGCTCAACATAATATAAATTGATTCGAAGATGTATTTTTTGATATTTTAAATGAATGGAATTTTTTATTGAATTTAGTTATCTATTTATATTTCTATATTTTTATTGATCTGAATATTTATTCAAACGAAAAATTTAATGTTCAAATGTTTCATATGAAATGAATAATTTATTTTTATCTTATTGAAATCTCTATGTATGAATTTATTCATTTGTTTCATCGCCCTTAATTTGCAATAATTGTTGGTCACATGTGATATTGATTACATAAGACATAAAAATTTATTTCTATTTGATATAAAAATATTTCTTCATCATTTCATGGTAAAATATATACAAAAATCTTATTTATGAGATTGTGTACATTATCCAGTGATTTAATTTTTTGTATAATTTATTTTTTTCGTTTTTGCATTCTGCTAAGCAATCAGTGTCTTGCTATTGAATTCTTGCTCGATTTGTTAATGTTAAGTTAAGTTAATGTTAAGTTAATGTTAGCAACTGTTATTGGCTTGATGGAAAATATAAAGATAAAGAAGATGTCGTAAAACCTCTCACAATGTATAAAGTGAAAAAGAGAGTCAAGTACTGGTTGAATCAGACATCATGTCATGAATAACATCTATAATTTTAAAATCTTGATATTCACACGATGTATTAGGTTTCCATAAGTATTTTCAATTGAAATACTTACATGAAGATAATTTCAAAAAGAATAAGTTCAAAGTAGTGTGATTTGAATGTAGCCTCATCGTAGTAATGATGTAAAGGAAAAAAATCCAACGTTTTATCATCCAATAGTCAAAAGTGAATGGAAAATGAGGTCCACTAATGACTAATCGCAAATATTTTCTTTTTCTGTGCACTTCTAAAAGAAACAAAATTTACCTTAATACGACAAGTCTTGTGATAATTCCCATGTTAACGTTAATGTTAATGCATTTCATAAACCACATGAAAACAACAAGTCGGGAACTAAAAATGTATTGTGATTCATACCTGAAGGCTAAAATTTACAAAGAGCACATAGACAAGGCTCTGACATCCTCTTTCTTTTTTACAACGGAAACAAATAATTGGCTAATGCAGAGGATGTCAGATTTGGGAGAAGAAGTTAATGCCAATTCGATGATCCAAGATCGTAGTCATATCTTGAACATGACAGGCCCTGAAGGCACAGAGAGAGAGAGAGTCTGATGCAGTCGGTTAGTGTGTCGGTCAGGGCCTGGGCCGTGTCAAGAATGCATACGGCGCTTTGAGCACACTCTTCGAAGCGGCGAAAATATCTAATCGTGAAATTGTGAAAGTGTTCGTCGCTGGAAGCTTTCTGACAGTAGAAGGCGTCGTGGGATCGGTCATAGCGTGTCCGGATTGTTGTTGGGATGTACTGTAGAGGAATGTGGGTGGAGAGGTGGATGGACGGACAGGACAGGGGGGACATGGGGCAGACAGAATTTGCGAGTAAACTAGTGACGATAAATACGATACTCCACGGCATCCATCTGTGTTGCTGCTACTGCTGCAGACGAGGGAGAGGGAGAGGGAGAGGGGGTGACATGTTCAACGATTGATGCTGTGGGTCTTGGTCTGCGCATGTGAGCCGAGCCGGGGCCACCTCATAATGGGTGGCCGGTGGGGACTCAATTATTATCGAACCAGGGCCTGAAAAGGTGCGTTCTGAAGTGCTCTGCAGCAAATTTCACTGTTGACGTCACTCATCTGGAGCCTCGAGGAAGGAAGAAAGGAAGGAAGAGAAGGGAAGGGAAGGGAAGGGAAGTGAAGTGAAGTGAATAGAAGAAATGGATAGGCGACACCGGTCTTTGGCCAGACCAGATTGGGTGCTGTTCACAGGCGATGGACGATGATGCCCTTGTGCAGAATGTCATGGAACGCCAATGGACGAGAGGCAGGCAGTGGTCGACTTCGCGCACCGAGACCCGTACCACTGTTGCCGCAGATGGCATTGCGACAATTTCGACAGGTTTTGACGACACTGAAGCCATCCATAAAGCGCCTCGTAGGCGCTTCTCGCATTAAAGTATTGGGTGTGGATCACGATCATGGACGAATATGTTTCCGGTGTCTGTAGCAGTGAGGGGGCGTACTTACGTACATTTGGAAGCGAGTCACGTCAAGCGAAGTGAGGAGAACAGGATCGTCGCTGCAAAGGCGATGCTCGAGGCTCTTATCAGCATCCCCGTGCAAGCATTGGGTTTCTGCCAAGCGAATCTCGTCCAAAGCCAGTTTTGCTGGCACTCGCATGAGCTTGGTTTCCGACTTCTCCGTCCAAAGTGAGGAGTCAATTCTGAAAATCCTCCAGGCTCCAGAAGACAATCTTGCCTGATCGTGATTCAAGAGCTATCAGTTCATTAATGGGGCAGAGGAGAGCGGTTTGCAAACATGAAACCACCGATCGAATCGAATGACGGTTCAGGGTTCAGGGTCTTGCCTGGGCTTACAAAAGTCGTTCACTTCGTTTTCTCGTTGGACGATGTCTTCCATATCCCCAACACTGGAGATAACGAGTGGACGTATCGATGAGAGAAGTTTCATCCATGGTTCTAGCCAAGGTGGGACCTGCAGGACACCTTCAGGTTGGTACAGAAAGATGTAAGTTGACGCAAGGAAAATTCGAAGGAAAACTTTGATTGCAAGAGATCCACCATGGGACTCCTGTTGGAATTGGGATCCGAAACTAGTACTCGAGCCACTTCAGCACTAACTCCCATTACGCCTTCGTATAACGCACTCTTGAGTCACTTAGATACAAATTTCCATATGGGAAAGGAGATATCCAGGGATGGAGCTCTAGCGCAGTTCCTTTGCTGACCTACGAAGAGCGATCAGTCTTTCTTCCTGTAACAGTTTTCCTCGGAACGCAGGGACAGTAAAAGTCACACCCACGATTGAGGTCAGCGGTCCAACAGATAAGTGTCGGAAGCGAAAGCTTTGTATTTTATCCATTGATTTTAAGAGAATCAAGATGAAAAAGTGCAAAACGCGAAAAGCAAGGACGGAGACATTGCTGACAAATGCAGTGTACAAACACTGCAGGAAGGTTAGTGCGGCATGGACAGATGTGTTACTCCGTACAAGAGTCCAGGAACCGTCAACAACCGCGAGGTGGTGAGCATAAAGTAACCACCGCTCTTCATAACATAATATGCACTACCCTGGGAATGCGTGCATTTCCTTATGATTTTTTCTCAAACATCTGTCCTTGTGTCTTTCGAGCGGGGGTACGACCGCGGTTGCACGGAGACAATGAACACGATAAGTAACCTCTGTGTGGACATAACACATCCATCGATAAGTTACAGCTTTTCCTCCGATCATGAGCTATGACCATGGTCAGCCCATGTGTTGATCAAAACTCAGATCCAGTCCAAGACTCAAATTCATTACCTCAAACATCAACATTTGCCACCCTCCGTTAAAGACCATAGAATCTCCGGTCAAAGAAAGCTAACAACTTTATTATTTTCATTCGGGGAGTACATGCAGGAAACATAGATCTTGGAAATGCTACAGAATCCTACGCCCTGATGGAAACAATGTAACTTTCATGTGTACGCCATTACATAAACTAATATGTACCACTCACAGCAGTTTCTGTAACATGCACTGAACAACGATTTCTACAACAACCCTGCACAATGATAGATCTAGCGGTCTATCGCGCTCCAAATGAATAAATATAAATATGTATATATATATACGGATATGTGTGATACCCGCAGAGGACATCAGCTATAATGGGGCCTTCATCAGGCCCCTTCTTTGCCCCCGTCTAGCTCTAACCTAGTTAATCAAAATTTCATTTGCTAGTGTAGACTGTACATAGAGATTACAAAATTTGTCGATCAGACTCGGCACATGCCATGAGATCACGATCCGCCAAAGGAGCCATGCCGAATGCACGAGACCAACAAAATATACTTGGACCGGTGAACAGACCCCGCACGGGGTGAAACAACTTGCGCCTGTGTTGGAGTAAATTGTGGGCACTTTCGACCCAACGGAGGTTCGTCAAACCTGCAGAAAAGAATTCAAACCGGGTCGAAAGGGAAAAGCGCTCCACTGGAACCCTCGACTGATGCCCGCAGCTCGACAGAGAGAGGGAATCTTGCTCCACTCGTCTTTCTCGACATTGTATGCGACCACCGAGCTGCTGCTCTTAGCACCGAAGTAGATATAGGTGCCGTCTGTGACAGGATTGTTGTGCACCGCTCCGGTGCACAGAGCCTCTGGAGGTCCTTGCGTCACAATAGAAAGCTGGCGAGTTTTGAGATTCACCTTCATCAAGACCAAGCTCTGCTGAGTGTTGCTGTAAACGATTCTGAACTGATAGGGCTCGTCACAGAGGTTCATCCACGGTGGGCGAGGCTCCACATCCAACGACAGGACCACCAATATTTGGCCTCCACACAACACCAACGTGACCGATGTACAAGGCCTGTTCAGGGACGGGAACGAAAGTGTACACCTTTCCCAAGTCATGTCCTCGACATTCAAGGCGAGCATGCCAATTTGCCCCGAAGTTAGCACTCCCAGAGCATGCCTGGACATGATGTACAGAGTATCCTTCAGGTAAGCACTGCATTGAGGGCTCAGGTAGAAGTCATTTTCTATCGTCACCTTGGTCGTCCTCCAGGCATGAATCTTGGAGTTGTAGACCTGCGCATCGAAAGTATACTGCCCGCTCTCCATTAAGTGCGGATCGAGGCTGAAGACCACCACGATGTATCCATCCGCACCTCGATGCAGCAGGTGCTTGCAGCCCACGTACGTCATATTCGGCCTTAAGGGCAAAACCCTGTAAGCCTTGGTCAACACATTCGTCACGTACAGGTTGTGATCGAGGGTCCGTGCGCTGCTCTCAGGAACCACAGTTCCACATATCAAACTCCCTTCGACGATGATATCCTGCCGAACGAAATCGCCAGGCAGGTAGGCGAGTGACAGCATCTTGCGCCAGCTGTTGGAAGTGCGATTGTAGGCGATCAATTCCGAGGTATCCTTCTTGAGAAAAGCGGGACAAAAAGGCTCCCAACTACTGGACCGCTGCAGAACCATTCTCTGGAATGCCGATTGCCCCAACTCCTCGTTCTGCTCGAACTTCGCGTACCACCCTTTGGACAGAACCCTGGCTTTGATAATCGCAGGAAACGGCAGCATCGACATGATCTTCTCCACCAGCTCCTCCGGCAGAGGAGACCGTCCGAACTCCATCTCGTCCGCCTCCTCGCTAACCTGTCGACTCTTCGCGTCCCGCTCCCGCCCGTCCTGGTTCGTCATTGTCCGCTACCACTCCCGAGCATCTACGCCCTCTCCCACTGCCTCTCGCCCCTAGCTCCGGCTATCGCTGCCACTCCCACTCGAGCCTCGCGTCATGGACTCCGAGCGAAAACCTCGTCGCAAACCTCAGCAGCAGAAGGGCGACAGACATGCATTCAGCGAATCCGCCCGAAGGAAGGAGGCAGCGAATGAATGAATGAGTGAATGAGGGAATGAGGGAATGAATGAGAGAGTGAGCGAGTGAGTGAGAGACTGGTCGAGTCTTCGGACAAGGGGCGAAAAGGCGCTTGTCAAATCCCAACAGCCGTGAACTTTCTGGACTCCGGCCGGGCGCATGTGTCTGGAAATATACTTGCTCCAGCTGTGGGTGGACCTTGCAGCGGCAGGCCTCGTGATGTGATCCTCGGCCCAGACGAGACACGACTGCTTGCCGTCGCTCGCCGCCCCGCCCCGCCCCGCCCCGCGCCTTTCGTGAGCCTTCGTTTCCTTTCCAGCTTACAGATCCGACTTTTGGTATATTCCGTCGTCCATACACGAACACCCAAAAGCTCGCGCCCTCGCCCTCGCCCCAGACGTAAAATAAAGAAAGCGTCGTCGCGTGCCAGTGCCAGTGCCGTGCGCCGAATTCGCTAATCGTCCCGCACCTAAAACGTCAGCCATGATCCATTCCTGCAAATTCTTCCTTCCTCTCCGGGCACCTCGATGAGCCTTCCTCATCCGAGCTCCGACTCCTTCACGCTCGGCACAGAATTTCTGCTGCTGCTGCTGCTGCAGACGCTTTGGCCGCCGACCATGGACTGACTGATCGCGGTTATCGGAAATTTACGTGCTGCGATCGAAGGCCGCAGTAGGGTACGAAGGGAAGGGCCGATTCGGACGTGGCCCTCGCACGCTGAACGGAGAATTGTACATACAGTACAGTACACAGACGGGGAGGGGAGGGGAGCGCATCATCATCATCATCATCATAAACATGGCGAGACGATGCGGATCATCGACAGTGCACGAGAGCCATGTGGGGCCTTCTCGCGCTCGCTTCGCTCTGCTGAGTCGGCTGCGCGCGCCCGCGACTAGAAGGCAAGGGGCTGGCCTAACCAGGTCGCGCCACAGCTCATCCATCCATCCATCTATCTATCCGTCCATCTATCCATCCAACCATGCAACGAACGAGGAGGTGGCTGGCCCGACGAACTCGGCAGCCGCGGCTGGACCGCCTCCGGGGAACCTTGGGATATTTGTTCGTACCTCAGTCATTATCCGGATGCAGACGAAAGTGCTTGCTTTGGGTAGGGTCCATCGACCCTCTTTAGGTCTTTCGTCCTGAGGGATTTTTTCCCCATCATGACATGGTTGAGTTGTTTTTTTCTCCACCTATTCAATGTTCTTGTATATTATATTATTTGTATTTTTATAAATATCGTCCCGTAGTTGACCTTCGCTAAGCTGAAAGTTTACATCCGCTCAGGTTGGACTCGTATGCCATCCGACGGCTTTTAGAGTGTGCGCGATCTGCGGGTGAGTTCTTCACGGTCGGATGGGCATACGGTCGGGGTTGATCTAGCCAAAAGTCATATTGTCATGTGCCTTGGTTTAATACAATTTCAACAAGATTGACTTGATTATATGAGCATTTGAGTATGGGCAACTATTCATAAAGAAGGCGCTTCAGATTCCCGTTAATCAGAACTATCCATTACCTAACATCTTGGAAAAAAGAAACATGAAATTTCCCTTTGAAATCGATTCTAACATGTAGCAAAAGGCATCGCTAAAATAAGATAATGTAATTAGTTTTTGTTCCTTGTTTATCGTGTAATAGTTTATTATATAGTTTTTTGAAAGAATTTTATTTTGTACACATTTAGCACAACACAAAAAGTAGATGTGTAAAATTTAATAATCACATAATGACATATTCATTCTGATGTCAATTGATAATTTATCATCACAAATACAGTTTGTGATATATCATGTATATACTATAAAAATATAATTTTTTTTCACGATTTTTATCATTTAAAATGAATTAAAAAATATAATTTCAATATTGATCTAGTTCTTTTAAGTGTATATATATGGCTCTTAAAATGTTATGTTGTCATAACAGACATGATATTTGGGGACATAATTCATGAAACTTCATTTTTTAACATAAAATAATGATCAATTTTAATCATGGTCATTATGGTGAAGTATATATTTTGATTGATAATTATTTTAAAATCAATTAGTTGAGGCTTTTGCATCTATTTCCTCTATAGTTTATCCCTCATTCTAAAATTTCATCTAATTGCTCCAAACTGATTTTCTAATGTGATGCAATTTTCAACAATCATACTACCAATCCATGCATTTGATTTGTTTGATACTATTCCATAAAAAAATACATCAAGTTTTTTTTCATTATTACAATGAAAATTTCATAAGATTCTAGTTGAAATTGTTTTATTAGTGTTTGATGTCTAGATCTGCTCCATGTTGTATTTGATGAATATTGAAAAGCCAAATTCGAATATAATTTTTTTGTACATTTCATCATACACTTAGGATATAAATTTTTTTTAAAATGGAATATATAAAAATAATTTAATAAAAGATTATTTTATTATATAATAATAATTCTTAATTTTTTAAAAATATGCTTGTATGTATTAATATATGATGAAAAATTCATCGTGTAAAGATCTAAATATATGAAATTCTGAATATATAAATCTGATATTTCACATGTGTAAGATAATTTACTTAAAATTATGCACATGATATTATTTAAGCAGCATCAGATATGTGAAAATCAATTGCATAATTTGATGACAGAATTTTTCAGTAGGAAAAAAATAATGTGATTTCTCAAAAATACGGATGTAATAAGGGCAAAGAAAAATTTTCACTTATATTTTTTTAATTTTATGTTATAAAAAATGGGATTAAAAAAGTAGATTTTTTAAAATAAATACCAAAATAGTAATTTATAAAAGTAGAAATAATATTGGGATTATTTTAAAAGTCTTGAATGTCTGCAAAATTCCTCTTCAAAAGACACCACTAGCTGTACACTAGTTTTGCACATCGAGGTTAGGGAAAGCCCAAGTAATCTGGTTTACTAGATAAATATGTAATCACATGTGCATCTAATACTAGAATCCAGATCTTTTGTTTACACATACTGTGTCGTGGAGGACACAGAATATCAATCGGTTGGTGGATCTGCAAATCCCAAGTGGATAAAGCAAAGCATTCACATCTTTATGGGAAGTATCTGAAATTTCATCATGGATTCCTTGTCGCTCACATGGTCTTCTTGCTTCAGATTTATTTTTCCTTCAGATGCTCTACTTCTTCGATGCGGAGATATTTTCGCAATTACTGCCGATCGTCGCCCCGACGGTCTCAGCCAACAGGATCACAGATGTCGCGAATTTTGTCACTAATCTTTGGACAGCCCAATCACGTAGAGTATCGTCGCAGAGAGCTCATACTCTTTTCATTGACCGTAAAGCAGTTCGAGCTCATACGCCGACTTCCATCGAACTGCCGCCCTCATTATCGTTGGTCAATATCTATAGATAAATTAAATTAATCGCTCCTGGCTTTGGTTTTCATTTCTTCACTCGTGGCGTGTACTTCTCCCATCAGCGTCGGCTCTCGAGGGACGGATCGGAACGGAGCCTCTCCTCCGTTTATTCGATAAAACGTCATAAAGGCCTGAAATACGCCCGAACGTGACACGGAGCCGAAATCTCCTGGCGATTCCGTCGGGAAGTCCGTCCGTCCGGACCGAACGGATTGGGTCCGAGTCGCGACGCGAAGGACGAGGGCCGAAAGTACGAAGGGAAGGAGGGCCTTTTCCTACATCTTTGGAGTGGGGTCCAGAAAAGCAGATTTTTCGCTGCTGCGTTGGAACTCACTCTGTCGGGCGAAAGGAGAAAAGGCGCCGAGGGAATCTGTCGCCTTGCCTCTGCTCGCGATGCAGATTAGAAAGCCGTCGAGGAGGATTTTAATGGGCCCCGTCTAATTTAAGCGCGGGCTTTGGATCAGAGTTGTGGGCTCGTCTCGCCTTCTGATGCAGTGGTAAAGTTCTCGTTAGCTTGGCTGTGAGCTTGTGGCTGCCCCGGTGGCTATGGAGGAAGGGGGTTTATCCGGGTTGGAATCGAGGATTGTCGTGAGGGAGGGAGGGAGGGGCGGAGGTCTGCGCTTTCGGCTCTGCTGAGGTGACGAGAATTAATTAGTTACTGCAGGCAGCGCGGAGGCCCTCGCGATGGCTTCTGCTCGGTGCATTGCCTGTGCAGTGCTGGGGTCGTCGCCCGTCCTGCAATCTGCTTCGGCTTCGAGTCTGGGAGCTGTGGGAGCTCGTGGGCAGAATTTTGGACGCTTTGCCGGAAGTGGAGTGGCCCGTGGATTTGGAGAAGTTTCGGATGGGTTCCGAAGGAGGTCCCGGTGCTCGGATTTTGGGAATGGTAGAAGTAGGAATAGAAGCAGGAATTTGGAGCTAGGGCAGGATTTGAATTTGGTGACATCTCGGGGGCAGGGGTTTGCAGTTGGAGCGAATGGGCGGTGGTGGAATTCGCTTCTGGAGCTGGCCGACGAGGGCGGAATGGAAGAAGGGCCGATCGAACTTCCTCCCCGGGAATTGGAGATTGATCCGCTGGCTTTTCCGGAGGCGAGCCCGGCGCAGATTGTCGCCAGCGTAGCTCTCACCGGCGCCATTGCCGTGCTTCTCCTGCGAAGCCTTCGGAGGCGCGCTCAGCGTGCCAAAGAAATGGTAACGCCATCCTCCCACTTCCTCCCCTTCCCCATGCATTCCCTTCCCTTCGTTCCCCACCCCCATCCAGCAGAACGCTTCCTTCCACTCTCCGAATCTGAGCTAATGGAGCACGCACGGGCATTGTGAATTGAGTCTCTCTTCTGATTGCAATCGGTGATTCTATTCTCAGCAATTCCGTTCCTCAGGAGTAGCCACCACGGAGAGCGTCAAGGAGGAGGCAAGAAAGGCTGCTATTGCAAGCCTTACTAAAGCACCGGAGGTTCCAGTTCCTCCTCCTTCACCCGGACAAACCCTTTTGGGGGCTGCTGTGGCTGGTGCCATAGCTCTGGTGCTGTACAAATTCACCACTTCCGTGGAAGGCAGCTTCGCTGGCAAGGCGATCTCCATGAATTATTCGGTGAAATCTCGTTGCCCTCATGTCTATTTTCAGTTGTGTACTGTGCAGTTTATGTCTGTGTACAATTGGGAGAATTGCCCTAACTATAGCAACTAGTGCCTGCTTCCATGACTTCCAAGAATTGTTTACGCTCAAGGCGCTAATAATGTTGGCACGAGGTGAAAGAATTGCCATAGTGAAATTCTATGCAGTGCTGAAATACAATTATGTGCCATAGACGAGTGGAATTCACGACATGTGTTCCAGGGTCAAATGGATTCCTGCTTAGCTTCTGCCTCGATTATTTCCCACACGAGTCCGAGTGGTCCAAGAGCAGAAAAGGCTTGTCTGACGGAATTCGTCTTTTGACTTGCAGATTCGTAACTTGACAATCACAGTAAGGTAAGTGGTCATTCTCATCAAAGAGCGCTGCTTTTTCTGCTATTCACATGAATCACTGAAGCTAGCGATGTCTGAGTCGAGTTTGCATGTGCACACGTCGAATTCGTGTATGCATTTCCGTTTGAACGCGAGATTTCTAGTGCTGTCCATTGCAAGCAAGCAATTAGAGCGGAATGGTTCAAGGAGCCGTGGTGACAACCGAAGCTAGAACTAGAAACTGGAGAAAGCTCATCCGCAGGAACTCTTCACAACGTTCGAGATATTTTGCGGTAGCTCGTCCGTCTCTGACGGTCTCCACCATCGCTCTCGTCTCTGATGCAGGACTATCATCAATGGTCTGCTGTACCTGGCTACGTTTGTGTTTGCAGCGAACTCCATCGGTTTGGGACTCTATTCACTCCAACTGTTGTGGGGATCTGATCCTCTACCCGATCCATCACGAGCCGAGCCTCAGGAGACGCTGGAGTCGTCATCTGATTCGGCGGAGAAGAGTTCGGAAGCAGACGATACAAACTGAACAGCGGACCTTGTAATACTAGAGGCAGGAAGGAAGGAAGGAGCGGGAGCGAAATGTCCAGATGGAAAATGACTTTTGCACATTGTTAAGGCGACCATCTGGGGCTCAATTTTGGCCAGCCTCCATGTTTCGCTCTGGCATGCCGAGACGCTTGAATATTCAGGCTCACGAGATAGTTATATACAGGTACGAACGGTCCAAAAAATAGATTCCCACGAAAGGACCGAGCAGTGTACGCTATTATATTAGTCGGAGATCCCCAGAATTCAATGACTCTTCATCCTCGGAAACTTGTGTGTCCTTGACTCAAAGTAAGATTCTGATTGGCTTGCATCTCGAGCTGTATGATGTCGCATGATGGGCAAAGCTTGTTGACCCTGAGTAGTTTTGAGAGCTTTTGTGCCCTCCATGCGGTCCTGGTCTGCCAGCCCACCTGCATTCACTTGCTCCAACTACCATCGCAATCATGTCAACCATAAAATATGAACTGCATCTATGTAGCTCAGAGGCTCTTCTCTGGAACCGAGGAACAGGGCCCATGGCGTCAAATAAAACCTTCGGGTGCACCAAAAGGTGGTCCTCAGCAACTTCGCTTCAGCATATGCTCTGATTCTCGTGAACCTCGAATGAACAACACTGAAATAACACGGAATTCAAAAGGAAAGCTCGAGGAGGTAGATGCAGCTCGGGCAGTTGGACACAGTTTAGGGTTTTTTCCCATGAGGCTCGAGATGAGCGCCCGAATCATCGAGTCAGTCGTGACGATCAAGACTTCTTTCCAAGCAGATCATGCAACACGGGGAGAACAACAACAATCCCGCACCGAAGATCGTCGAGACGAAGCTGCAGGTGCAATTCGATTCGTGGGGCAGAGGATGAAACATTCTCGGATCGTAGAATGCGTAGAAACATGTGTCACAAGCAACTGACGACGGAATCTGCTTCTCATCCATCCATCACCCACCGACGTCTTCATGCTTCGACAGACACGGCGCCATGACCGAGTGCGTCCGAGAAGGTTGGTGCACGACGGTTGCCCTCCCGCGGCGCTTACAGTTTCAAGAATGGAAGGACGACCGGCTGGGCCGGCCGAGGGTCCGTCCGAGCAAGGCGTTGCGCGCGCCGGCCGGCCGACCGAACGACCGAGTCCCGAAGGACGTCAGTTCAGTTACGAGCCGGATCGCGGCCTTTCACGAGCGCTTTGGCACCCCAGATTCTTCCGTCCACGACGTCGGCGCGTGCTTGGAAGGCCGTGACCCTTGCCGGTCATCGCCGTTCACGAACCCTCCGTCGCCGAATTTCGGCCGATCTGTTGCCCGAGGGAAGGCGAGGCCTGCGACCACGCTGGCGGGTACAAACGAGCAGTAGCAGGCAAGAAGCAGCAAGCGAGGGCCGAAGGCGAGGCGGGGACAGAGGAATTTGCCTGCTGCCGCCATGGAGGTGGCGTGCAGTGTCCAGAGCTTGAGGAGCGTGAGGAACATTCACCGCATCTCCGTTTGGAATGCTGCGCAATTGGGTTCGTCTTCGCTCGCCGCTTTTTTCGTCGTCTTTCGGGTCCTCACATTCCTCTTTCCTGCTCCCTGCTGCTTCTGTCCGTCTCTTGGAACCCGATGATTTTGTGGATGAGTGAAATCGAGCTTGGATTTCTTGGCTGCCTTAGTTCATACAGGTCCCGGACGTAGACCGAGCTCATGTTTGCAGCACTCTTGAATTTCTGAATCACTTCATGCGAATGGGATTTGAAGCCGCGGATAGATCAGTGCACGACATTTGTCGACGACCATTCGTCTGTTAACTAGCGATTGTGTCAAAACGTTGCCCTCCTTTCCGGGACTCGTCCAAGACGGTGTGATTGAATGTAACAGATTATCCTGTAATTCAGACTGAAAGAAACAATATTGAAGAATCCAGAGGAAGCCACAAAATCATCTTTCACGAAACATAGCAGTAAGTAGATTGTGCAGTTTGCAACAATGCAAGAAATCGTTCAATGAGGTTGGGATGTCAAATGACGCACGAATGAGCTGGAACATCACTTACCTTTTGGTGCAACCTCTTGGGATTGAAGTTGCATATGGAGTTTGATACTCCAGCAAAACCTGAGCACTAGAGAGAGTCCTGTGAACGTAACGAGAGCTGAATTAGCAGTAGTCATCTGCTGTAACATTCCTGACGTAAAACCTCGAAGGCTACGTTGTTCGTCTACTGTAAAACCTCGAGATGACTAAATGACACCCGCACAAACATCACGAGGGCTGGAGCACAGCTGATCGAGTAGCTGGAGATTTTGTGGGGTGCAGCTTTGTTGTCTTTCCGGGAGCAGGAGGATATGAGAAACATCATCGACGGCATGGGCAGATTGTCGGCCCAAGCTCAGCATCTGAGAACACCAATCACAGACTACGGTCGCCTGAAGGCCGGATCTCACACCCTCTACCTGTGCACGACCGGAGTCCAAGGCAAGCCAGAGCTCGTCTTGGCCAAAGGAATGCTGAAGGTCGGGAGAAAGAATCTGTTCATCCGGAAAGATAACGGACAGCTCGTGGAGATGTCCCCGCTCTGTGTGCTCGACTTTTATGTCCACGAGTCTTGTCAGAGGTATCGAGAGAATGTGCCCATCAAATTGCTCCCCCCTAATTCTCGCATTTGGTCAAAGATTCACCTCCATAACAAACGATCGTGGAAAGACTTCCGGGAGCATACCGCCTGTCAGAGGGCTATAAAAGAACTAAATCTTCAACATCTACAGCCTTGTTCACTACTAAAGTCGAGATTTGATGCCGCTATGACTATCGAGTTAACGAAGAACACTACGGGACCTGGTGTGTGATCAAAAGAGTGTTTAAAGAACTGAGATGTGAAAGTCGATCCGTCAGTCAAGGGCCCTACAGAGATCGCTGCTCACATAGCCTTCTGTGGACAGGATGGGACTAGGCCACGAACTATTTGAAACCATGCTATCAAAGGAGAAGGCGAGCGCACGTGAACTTGGGTGAGTTCATCGTGCACATCTTTCGAGGTCTCCGCATATCGGTTGAGAATCCATTGCACTGCTGCTCTATTTGTTTTCGAACCGCTTCAGCTGGATCGCGGTTCTAATGCATCGACCTGGAAAGACTAAGGCTGGCTTCATATCATTATGAGTCTATCTGCAGTCGACGTCGAAGTCCTATCACAACTCTTTGAGAATTGCAGTCCTTCTCATGGCCTAATCAATCTTATGAACAGCATGTACACCAGATCGCATTAATGAGTTGTTTTACACAGCTGGATTCTTGTGCCCTTGGCTTCGATTATCTGTTGGGAGCAGTTATGACAGGCCTTCATCCAAATTCCACTCGTTCCTTGAGAAGTATTATCACCTGACAGAATTTCTACCTCAGGTTCGTTCGCATCTCAACTCCACACATACCTGGCAGTCAGTCAGCTCTTTGCTCTGCAGAAGAAACGTTTGAGCCAATGTCTCACTCTTGCTTTGCTTCTAGCTCTCATCTTCCACTCAGCACATCTCGATGTCTAAAACTCTGTCAGAGGCCTTGAAAGCAAACAGAGGTGCGTGGACCGACTGCAGAGTGTTGTGACTTATGATTACAGGACCATGTGTGTATAGGCAAATCAATATGTGGTGTTCAAGGACTACTTCAACGTAGACCAGACTAATAGCAATGGTGCGTGTGCTCTAGACGAGAGGGGCAGAAGCCCAGGGACAGGGTTTTTGGAGAGCTCGGGCAAAAAGGACAAGGTACTGCACGGCCGGAGAGCGACCGTTTCCGAGTCCTCAAACTCTGATGCTGAGTTTTGTCCGGCAAGGAAATCGGAGCGTGATGTTAAGGGGAGCCATGACGTTGGGGTTGCAGATCCTTGCACGGTCCAGCAGCAGCCGCCCTCTGGACGCAGACAATCAAGACATCACATGGCGAACTTGCCAGTTGTAAACAAGGTACCTTGTCACTCAAATTCAGTCGACACTCAAAGACACGTCCCGAGTCTTTCTTCCTCCACGGCTGCGAATGACCGAGATAGTTCGGGTGTGAGGAAACATGCTGCTGCTGCTGGAGAGTATAAGCCGAGTATTCATGGCAGACGGAGTACTCTGTCTGGTCCTTCCAAGTCCACCGATGCGAGGAAAGCATCCGAAAAAGCGTACGCTAGGTATCCCAGCCCTCCGTGCCTTCCGAAGACCTTGGAGAATGAACCCAAGGACGACAGCTGTTGCAATCCCTACAAGTTTCCGAGAACAGAGAGCACACGATCCAGAATTTTTCACGAAGACTGCTTCGTGCAAATTGCAAGGCCAGCAGCTCCTCCTCTCAAGTGCCCTTTCTGGACTGAAGATGCACCCGCTTTCCGCACCAAAAATTCGGACACTATAGATAAAATCAACCTTCTTGCATCCGCACCAGTTTCGTTCGAAAACACTAGGTCTTGTTATCACGCTGGAATGAAGGGCTACGGTGCGGCAGAAGCGATGGGTTGGAGCAGTAGTCTCATCAAGTAGATCGAGCTCGAAACTGCGTGAAAGTAGCTTAGTCGATGGCTGTTCCTTCCCGGTGTGCATTTACTCTTTCTGCGAGAGCTTGAATAGACTGTAACGATGCGGATCTAGAGTCTTTTGATACCAAATGCTTCGAATCTCGGTCGCCCGTTGTTCGCTGATCCATGAGATCAAGAGTCTTTGTGTATGTCGATGTCTTCATGCAAGATCGTCCCCAAATCTCGACACTCTCTGCATCTCTGAAGTTTATGCTGGCAATTCGGAACGCACTGTGTTCTCGGGTCGGAAATTCTGTCCTTTCCACCGTTGTACAGAGTTGTACAGAGTCCATGCGATAAGCTGAGTGGACTGGCGGACTTTGCAAGTGGCAGTGTTATGTTTTCAGATTTGTCACCTTGTGCGTTTAGTGAACAGCAAGTTCAAGCTCTTGTTACTCTAGCTTGCTAAGAGATGATCGAAGAGTCTCTGTGCAGGCTCCAGGAGATCAATGGCTTGGATCCGATATTCTGGCTACTGTGGGTCGTTTGAACGCTTCCTGCCCTGTGCATGGGCGGTGTCATGGACTCGTAGTCATCAGGCCACAAGCTGTTGGTTGTCGGCCTTCGACAGCCTGTGAGACTATACCAGGAGAGGTGAAATGTCAAGGCTGGGCTGCCTAGTGACTATTTGAAGACTGTCACTCGACTCTGACGTATCAAGGATTTCTTCTGCTCCAGAAATCTGAATCTCAGTCAGCTGCACCACTGCTGAGTGGAAAATACATTCTGCACAAGATTTTCTTGACTGATGGATCATGCCCAAAACGACATCTTCAGTCTGTTGAGTGTGGCATATGTTTTCTGATCGTCATATAGGTGGAACATTGTAACGAAATTACGTTTGAAGAGTCATCATGTCTTTACTAGACACAGACTCTAGGTGTCGTAGTTTCACCACTCCCAGAGTGTCTTGAGTACTGGATGTCTTCTCCTGACGAGAGACACATGTTATCCTACATGGATCCAGGGCACTGCTTCGTAGCCAAGCATCACGGCGGACCAGAATCCCTCAGTTCTGGTGTCTATTTCTCACAGATGACAGACAGGAGGGTATTGCCCGATAATTTATAGATTGTGAACCGCTTCCACGTGGTGGTTGTTCTGGAAAACCTTGACTTCTATTTCGTCACGCTAAGACAATCAAACCGACTTCAAAGATCGAGCGACTCTAGACTATGTGTCAACCAGCTGCTCCACGGTTGCCGTCACGCGAAGAACGGTGCAAAGCGAGGGCATCGGTGCCACGACGGAACACATTAACTCCCGTCCACTTCGTAGGCCTGGGCTTCCTTCCAGTAGTCAACGGGAACCTCGTCCCAGGGCAGAAGCCGGGCGAAGAGAAGCTTGGAATGCTGGTAACACCTCAAAAGGTCTAAAGGTGACCTCTCCTCTGACTCAATCTCGGTCACAGGGCCACGAGCAAGCCATGAGTGGGCTACACTCAAAAGACTTAGGTCCATCCGGATGTGAGTCTGAGTCAAAGCGTTCTTTCGTTGCACACAACTTCGACGACAGATGGTATGCAGGAGTTGAAGCAAGTGGTAGCATCTTGCTATAAACAGTTCATTGTGATTGATCTGCGTTGAATGCTGAGTTCAAGCATGGCAGATGGAAACTGATCACACTGCGCTGAACACGCTAATGTTCTTTCTACTTCACAATCTGCTGATGCGAGGTTCGTCTGATCCCGCTTCTGTATCATTGTGATTGATCTGCGTTGAATGATGAGTTCAAGCTAGGAAGATGGAAACTTATCACACTGCGCTGAACACGCTAATGATCTTTCCACTTCACAATCTGCTGATGCGAGGACAGTCTGATCCCGCTTCTGTATCCCGTGGCTGTGGTGAGACATGTTGACAGAGCTGCAAGCAAAGAGAGTTTGAGTCAGAGCATTCCCACAGTGGAAGCAAAAGTCTCGGAGTCTAGGTCTTATTCATGAGGGAGCGGAAGTCACTGCTGATGGCTGTCCAGATCAACACGTCCAAGCGCATGAATGATCTGTATTTCAACATGACGCCCTTTTTTCGTGCCCTGTCTCCCAGCATTCCAAGTCATGCCCGGGAAGAACGAACAAACGAACGCATGAATTAAGTGACCTTTTTTAAGTCAATGAAGACAACAACTTCTTCTGCTCCTTCGAAGAAGCGAGCGTTCATCTCGCGGACGAAATCATTTTCAGTAACTTCATAATAATGGGCAAATGACGCTCGCGTGTAAAGAAGCTGGAACCGTAAAATTTGCAATGAAGTTTGATCCTACGATGGAATAAGTTAGCTACGACATCGCTGGATTTTCGGGTGAATGAAGGTAGAGCGTTCTACAATGATTCTTCGACGATCGGCCTTTCTGCTGACAGACAAAAACGATGATAAAGGTTCATATTGGTGCAAAGGAGGTAGAATACAAGGAAGAAAGTGTTCAGATCCGACTGCATGCAAACAGTCTGATCCTGCCAGGATTAAGAACAAGCCATCGACAACATGAATAGGGTGAAGACTGGACCAAAGTCCAAGGAGGAAATCGACTCCAGCCGAAGCAGCGAGAATATTCCAAAAGTTCGCCTACTGCAAGTGCATGTATGACTCATGAGCAGCAGGAGCACCATCATGATCGCTGATCGCCTAAACTCCTCTGGCGCTTGACGTAAGTCTTCACTGTGCGATCTATATCCAGATAAAGGTCCCGACTTGAAAAGGACTGGCTTGTAGCAGAATGTACTTCAAGTTCTTGTCTCTGGACTGCTTCTACGCAGTGGTGGAGCCGAAGGGCGGTTCGGGCGGTCAGTTAAGCATCCTCGATTGGCGTAAGGGTAACAACAAAAGTGTTGGGACGACTAACAATTCGAACTCTTCAAACCTCTTTCACCAACGTCATGTTTACCACAGCTGATATGCTTTTACTCAGAGCAACTCAGTCCAGACCAAAAGTCCAGACGAAGGTAATAATATCAGTCACATTCAGGATTTGCAAGAGTAGATTAGGCGCTTGAGCACTGAGTCGATTCGAAGTTGAGAGCTCATTTGGAGCCAGGAAATTTGTCGTCACTGATCACCAAGGGCGGGAGAACTTTCAGATGGATGACTGGTTTTACATCATCTTATAACTGTTTCACAGCTTCGGGCGTGCACACAAACAAGTTGACCCTCGATTCGGCCAGTATCTCGATTATCCTTGTCCACTTATGCATGCACCTTGCCAACGATCGCATGTCGTGTAAACTTTTGCTTATCATCGGGTTTGCCCCTAGAGTGAGCTCAGTGGATTCCCGATTCTACCTTAAGAATGATGGTTACAGAACCGAAGTGGACTCGCCGTGATCAATCGAACTTATGGGTTGACATTGTGGTCTCGAAAGTGTTTCCTGCTCTGTAGGTCTCGAGCATGCACGTCAGAGCCTCCAGCACGTGTTCTCTGCGAAGAGTAACTTTGTGGCTACTGGAGTTCTGGGCCCATGAAACGTACTGAATCTAGTTCTTCGGCTGAAGCCTGGCTTTGGATGGGCCCATGCCAGTCGATCATCATCGGTCCATACGCATGGCCTCGAAGACCTCTCAGATCCAGCGTGGAGTTGTTTCTGCTGTACTCTTCCGTGAAAACGTACCCGGACAAGCAAATCCAAATCATCGACACTAGCTCTAAATTTGTCATGAAGCAGCAGAACACAGAGCCATTTTTTTGGTTCGTGCATTGGACGAGCATTAGATGGCTTTGGATTTCGAAATTCAAGTAAGCTGAACCCTGACTGACTGAATGATAAATGGATCTGCAAAATTACCGGATCTTCTTACGCTCCCGATAATTGATGGTGCGGGCAAAATGTCTATTTCAGCATTGTGGTTACCGTATATGAGCAGCAACTGCCGCTCTTTTAGCTACGGTGTGTCCATGATTGAGCTGCGCATGAGCTAGAGCTTTGAAGGCTCATCGACACCACTCGTCGTCCCTGTGTGAACTGATCTTAGCTGAATGGTTGGACTCTAATTGGACTCTAATTGTACTCTACTGAGCTATACTTTCAATAGCAGCTCTATAGCGACAAATGTTCTAGATTCAGATCTGCTTTGCATCTCGAATTTCGGACTAATCTCGGGAAAATTAATTACATGACGAGCATTCTAAGCCATAGGTTCAGATTATAGTGACAAATGAACTGGCAGATTATCCAATTGTGAAGCGGAAGCCTCAAAATCTGAACTCGAACGCCTAGCTTTAGACAAAGTTGGACAGCAGCTCCCAAAACTGTGAAAGTGAATGAATGATCGACCCATTGATGGTCACAAAATTCGAATAATTTCCAAAAAGTGGATGGCCGAACGCTGCAGCTCGCTATGAAATTGGAACCAGAGACCGAAGTGAATTGCTACACTGGGACCTTGGGTCGAGTCAGCAGGCGAGGAGAGGCCGTGGGCTGAGACTTCGGTGAAGAGCTCGGGCTGCTTTCCTTCGAATCCCCTTTCGTCAGCAGCAATTTTGCACTGATGTTCTTCGGGGATTCGTCCATCTCCTTCACCAGCTCAGTCCTGCCATTGATGATCGCGAAGCCGACTCCGTTTCTGGCCGGAGGTGCGAAGGCAAAATACATGCCCACGACGAGAGCGACGAGAATCGGAGCACACTTGGCGACCGTGTTGGGAATCGTAGGGTAGTAGCAGGTGGTGATGGGGGCTGTGAGCATCGAGAGAGAAGCGAACGTGATGACCACGAGGAATCCGTTGATCATATCGAATGTGTTGACGATGTACTTGTTGGGATCCGAGCCTCCTCTGTAGAAGTAACCATCGAGGCCTTCGAGTTTCGTGTTGGCGCTGGCGAATTGAGGATTGAAGAGGCCTCGGTGGGTGACGAGGCCGTAGTAAACCTGCCCTCCCTCGGTGTTGATGCTGTCCGTGAAGCTCAGAGTCCAGCAGATGATTGCGAAGATCAGAAGTAGAATTGCGGTCATGATTTTCTCCGTCGAGCCGCACTCGCCATTGTTGGTGAACAGCGGGGCCATCGTCTGGAATGCCAGATAGCTCCCTGTGGGCAGAAGGTTCGCCAGATTGCTCACCACGTTCGAAGACATGATTGCTTTCGATCAGCCGACAGTCGGACCCTAAACCCTTCCAGCACTGGCTCATGACCGACCTCTCGCTCAGCCTGGCACCGGCCGACTCGCGACCATGCCCATGACCATCGCCGACCGCAGCGCGAAGATATTTCCTTCTGAGTCCTGTTCCTGCTCGGTGGAATTCCGAGCGGACGTTCTGCAATGCCCTGCAATTGCGATCGACCAGCAGCAGCTGCTGCTGCCTTCAGCTTCGCGATCACAGGAACAAATCTCAGTTTCTGGGAGCGAGAAGTTTCAGAATTCCGGTCGAAGTTTCAACATCGAGGTCCTAAATTCACTTAAACCTCAGATTCCGAGGTATGGGACTCTCCCTTCGATTCGAATTCGAACCGACAACCGTGCAGAACGAAGAACGAAGAGCTCCGAGCTCCTGCGCAAGCCTCGTGACACCAGAGCGGACGAGGAGTCGAGATCGCTCGGACGGTGGCGTGCACGTGCTGGCTCGAGATGGAATGATTCTGGTGCGGATCCGCCGAGCGAGGCAACCGGACCGTCTAATGTTTCTCTTCAGTTAGCGAACCAGTTGAGCTGAGCCCGATTGATCAAGGGCAGCCGGCAAGCAGTCGCGCTCACGAGCTCGAGCGTGCACTTTAATGGTTGTGAACCCCGAGGCCAGGCGAGTCCGAGTTCTGCTGCTGCATGTCCGAAGATGTTCGGACATATCAGAAGAGGAGGCGATGAGGCAGGCAACTCGGACTCGCTGGATCCACCTTTGTGAGGTTCCCAGCCCCCACGTTCTCGATCATCCAGCCGCCGATCCGAGCTCCGGAGGATGACACCTGCAGATTGCCCGGACGCCAATGGTGTCTAGCCGATACAGTGGACGCTAATTTGGGCCTCGCGGAAGCGAATAGTGGACACAATTGTAGTCCTCCAAAGCTTGTTGTGTCCTCTTCCACAGCTTCTGCAATCATAACTATGGAGCAAAGCAATAGCGTTCTTCCGGAAGACACAGCCTGGGTCACTAGAATCATTCGAGAACTTGCTGCACGAAAGACTTTCAATGAGCTTCCGGCCACTCGTATGTGTGCACATGACGCAGGGAGGTAGGTCTCGTAGAGTTTTGTGTGGAGGTACGACGGCCGTCAGAAATGAGCAAGTTTTCACTGCGGCCATAATTTTGATTAGCGTCATAGTTTTGATTTGCTAGTCACCACAACGAGCGGGTGATGCTGCGGCCATAATTTTGATTAGCAGCAATAGTTTTGATTTGCTAGGCATTATAACGGGCGACTGCAGCTGCGGCCGGTAAGTCAAGACTAGTAGGCGGGAGGTTGCAAATGCCTTTGCTAAATTAACTTTCAAAGTGCAATGTTTATTATGAAGAAACCGCAAACTCCACCTGAAGATGCATACTAGAGTCATGGAGTGCTTCAAGTGCTTGGACGACGCAAAGAATAAAATAGCCACTGAAATCAGATGATTTCATTTAATTTGAAGACTCAATCATCGAGCAATAAGTTGTGGCAACGCATGAGTCAAGTAGTAAAGAAGTCCAATGACAAGTGGGTGTGACTCAAGGTGCTAATGGAAGTGATTGGAAAGCCAGATCAAGAAGGTGTACTTTTGTGCATGCATCAATCCCACTTGCTTCACAATCTACATATACAACTCCAAAGATGGCACGTCGTCAATGAGTGCCCACACGTTAACGACGCTGATCGTTTGCTTTGAAGACTCGGACCATGGAGCAATAAGCTATGGCAGCGCATGGATCAGGTAGTAAAGAAGTCCAATGACAAGTGGGTGTGCCTCCAGGTGCCAATGCAAGTGATTGAAAAGCCATGATAAAAAAGGTGTACTTTTGTGCATGCATCAATCTCACTTGCTTCACAATCTACATATATACAACTCCAAAGATGGCACGTCGTCAATGAGTGTCCACTCATGCTCAGTTACAGCTATTGGAGCTAATTCAAGTAGCTTACTTGTTTAGGGTACCAAACTTGGATTGTTGATTGACTATGACCAATTCCCTAGTGACCAACCTGTGTTCGTGGGATATGCGTCCATCCGCAATTGTAGAAGGCATGGGATTCAAAAACGTTATCCAAACAACCCTGGATATCGGCTTTGTAAGCAAGATTCCGCTTCTCGCTAATGAGTTGCTTTAGTTCCGACATATAGTAAAGCACAAGATTACCTCATCGTGAACCTTGAGGTAATCTTGCACAATCATTTCAAGTACAGTGGGCATGCTGCATTTTCTACAGACATTTGGATAGACGATGTCACACAGACTATATACAGACACCATACACCTTATTGATAACTATTTGTTTTGCATGCCCGAGTCGTGTCATGTGATGTGTTTAGTGAAGTCACAAGTCACACTTCATCAGCGATTCATTGTGATTTTGTTAACAGTGTACGCCCTTTCATATCTCGGAATGATGACAAGGTTCTGGTTGAGGCGGCGAACTGGCAAGTGGTTGTCAAATTCAATGCAACTTCAAACAATACGGGAGCAGAAGTTATGTCATCGCAATGCGAGATGTATTTGTGTTTTTGCCGTCGCATTTCGACCTCCATCAGCTATGTATTGAGGAATCAGACGCACGTGGTGCACGGCATCAAACAACCACATGCATAAGTACAAGAGCAAAATTGTCTTTGATATGATCGATAATTCAAAGGCGCTGGTCACCTACATGAAGCAGACGTATCTGAATAAGGAACTGAAGCATAAGATGAAGCAAGACGTGACAACACCCTTTGACGGTCTCCTTATCATGCTTTAATCTATGGCTACTGAACTTGATGAAACCATCAACTTGTTGAAAAAGAAAAAACAAAAGAATCCCACCGAGAAGATCTATGTTGATGTGCTCAAAGAGCTCATTCAATTGTTGGACTACTTCAAGTTGGCTAGCAAGTTTCTAGAGCTATTCAATACACCGACTCTTTATCTCCTCGGTTTATTGCCGGCCAAACTGAAGATCCATCTTCAGCCACGTGATGAACATTTTCACCCGTTTTTGTGAACGGTGCCAACGGTGAAAACGTGACAATTTTTTCTGACAGTGAAAATATTGGCCCTTTCAGTGAAAATATGTTCCTCAGCCTCTCCACGGTGCCGCTGCTTACCTGGATCCGCTACAAAAGAACCGTCTAAAAGATTGTGGCTTCACTCAACAGCTGATCGATCAAGGTCATATTTATCTCAAGTACATTATGCGCAAGGTTGAAGCCCAAAACCGAAAGTTCCGTGCATGTCTGATGTCAGACGTCCTTCACCCAGGCCAAGACAAATTCCGTGGAGAGGCCATGCACCGACGTCTGACATGAAAATCGAAACTTCTACCTCTTCTGAACCACAACACAGTAGACCGAATTTGGGAAGTAATAAACAGCGCAGGTATGTATGTGTGCTCTAAGAAGAACCTTCTCCCCGTTGCCTCATTCTTTCAGCCCACGAGCCCGGCTTACGCCGACCTGATCTCCTCAGTTCGCCCACCTGTTCTTCCCAATGAGCTTTCCATGCTTCCTTCGCAACGACCTCGCCATGGGTAACTCCGCGCCGCCGTTGTCCAGATCTCCGATCGTAAGCGAATCCTGAGGTAAGCGCTTGGACGGATAAAGGATTTCGAAGCCGAAAATCATAATCGGCTCGTAAGTCAGGGTCCACCAGAATTTCATAGGCCTCCTGCACCTGCAAAAACTTTCTGGTGCATTCATCCCTCGCGGCCGGCGGGCACACATCCGGATGATAACGGCGCGCCATTTGCCTGGAGGAAGGGGGAGAGGGAGAACGGAGGGAGCGTCAAAGCCCAGCTTCCGGGCTGCAAGAAGGACAACAAACAGGAAAAGCAGAGCATAAATCGACGGATGACTGAATTGCAAGGGCACGAAAAGGATCGAGAAGCCCCAAGGTATTATGTTTAAGATGCAGTCGATGGCAAACCTGTAAGCAGTTTTAATTTCCGAAAGGCCGACGTCTTGAGATATTTCTAACAGCTCGTAGAGTGTGAGGACCGGCAATTCCACATTACTAGATTCGGTGTCTGACCCACCGCCTCCGAAAGCGCAACCGATACTTCTCTTCCGATTGCATTCTCTTCCAGCAAATCCTTTTCTTCTCAATCCCAGTACCACTTTGAAGACTTTACTACTGCCTAGACCAGTTTCGGAACTCCTCGTTCGAGTCAAAACCGAGCGATCCGACCCTGGCGAAATACGACCAATTGGTGATCTCTGCCCGCAAGAAATGACCAAAACGCCACCAGCCATGGTAGGAACTCTTGACCTCGCCTCGACCGCCACGACTTCTGGCTGTTTTTGCTCCCATACCGACCCACCGTTTCTAACAGATGTACTCGAGTGTCTGTAAATTACAAAGCCTGCCGGACAAACTTAGTCGCACGCACTCCACGGTGAGCATGCGTTTATGAGACAGACGATGTGTCTGTCAGACATATTGTGGGAGCAGGAGCGATGAGGAGCGGATCCCCATTTCTCCAAAGATTATGCCCAGCGGCTGCAAAGTCCACTGCCCATCGGTTGGTCCAACGCTACTAGGCCCCTACTTCTCACTCCCTCTCGATTCCTGATCAACAAATCTCCATTTTCCCAGCCCGAGGGCCAGCCAGCAAGCTATCCCTCCCTCCATTGCTTCTACCTCCACTTCGGACCAATGACTGACATCACTCGCATCACACCGACGTCACACATCGCCGTCTTACTCCAAAGTCAGTCTTCATCAGCGCATCACATTAGCGTCACGGACATAATGACTTCAACTGAGACGGCACAATTGGCATACTCTTTCTTTCCCATGCTGGCTGGCAGGTAGGCTGTCTGATACCACGCTCCTGCTGGCGGACTCCTCCCACAGCCAGCTGGGAGAGAGAGAGAGATGCGAACTACACCAAAAACCACAAGCAGCAATCAGCGGATTTCGTGCACGAGGACCGAGTTCAATCTATCCATTCGATTTCAGGACTGCTATTATGTAGCTAGTCAACTGTGTTAATCGTGCAAAGTACAGTACGTAACAATGGGCTGTTCAGCTCGATGATCATCGCACCTGGAGCTCGACTGCAGATTCTGTCGAGTGCTGCGCTGGCAGTCATACTCGACCACATTGACAAATTTACCAGACCCTGACCTCCTCATCTCGCTGGTGCAATAGGAGAGAGAGCAATCGTGGCGGTCTCTTCGGCTCGTCGAGTCTGCCACGTGTGACATTTGGGATCAATGTTGTGAAAAGCTAGGTGCTAGCGACCATAGAACATACATAATCTGAACAAATATCTCGCTTTATCCACTAGGACGCTTTTCTTCTTTTCTTTGCTTGTTTGTTGAGCATGTTTCGACTTATAGCCTTTAGATATCTCCTTTGGGCCAAGTAAAGTAAGAGAGTTAGTATCTTTGTTTAGTTTTTGCTATTTACTTGACCCCATCAGGGCCTCCGAGCATGAAACCAAACTGTTAAGCATGTATTTCGAACAGATCTGAGCACGAATATAGGAAATTGACTCTTCATATACGTAGAGTAGTGCTAGTCAAACAATTTTAGAGTATAGTAATGATAAAAGGTCTAAACAATCTGCACTTTACTTAGAAATCTTTTAGCTAATTTATAATCTCTTAATAATTAGCTATCTTAGATACTCTTGTATCATAATTGCCACTTGAATATGAAAACATCAGCAAATTTTAGACCTTCAATGCGCCAAAAATATATAAAAATAGTATATAAAATATACTAGTATGTGAAGTAGTATATAAAATATACTACTTCGAATATCAACATCAATTTACACATAGTCATGCAACAAGAAGCATGACGGTACAATATTCAAACACAATCAAATGGCGAGCAATGACATTCTAACCTCAAGTAAACACAACATACAAAACATCACATAACAACCCCACTTTGATCTTCATCGCCAATTATGAACTATTGTAATGTATTCCCCATCGTTGCTATCGACTTCTGCTTGCAAGATCACATATATGCGCAGCATTTAGATTGTACTCTTGCTCTATTTTTCATGCCTTCAATAGCAGATTAGTCATCAATCCATCAGCAATTGGATCACCAAAAGATCCTGAATACCTCATAGACTACACAAGATTCGAAATCTCACAAACCCTTAGTATGTCCTACACAAATATTTTTGTGTCTTTTCATCATGACTCTATGAAATGATTCCAATCCGCAATCATTTTTTTTAATTGAAAAATCAATCTATTATCTTGTTGTAGCTTTATTTTGTGGTCATTTAATCACTAATTCAAAATCCGCAAATAATATGTATAGCTTTGCACAAGAACTTGAGATTTAACAAACGTTAGCATTAACCTCAAAATGCGCAAGCTGCGTGAGATGGAATCAAACTATAACACCTCTAAACATGACTGCGATTGAAGTTCAAGTTGTACTTTGAATCCAATATAAGAACTAAACTTTGTGAAAATATTTTAAACTAATCTTAGTTTAGAATTGATTCAATTGTTACTAGTACTGATGAATGAAACTGTCACGAAACTAAATGTTATGAGTCTGATGATGAATCCTCATCAATATGTTACTTTTAGCATCCACTTACCAGCTAAAAGTATATGCCATACATTGAAAACTTGACAATGGATCATAAAGGTCAGATGCATAGTGTGATCATTGGTCATTGATCATTGGACATTCAAGACAAGTTTGGTTCTCAAGCTTCTACTGTTACTACTCCTGCTTTGCATGAAGTGGTTGAAACTCTTGAGGTGAAAATGAAGTCTTATGCTGAAGCTACCAAGTCTGCTCATATCTCTTTCTGTCAAGAGCAAGAGATTGAAAAGGCTAATCAATTTGCTTGTATGAAGAATGTGAGGATTTCGGGTCTACCTGAATCTGAGAAGGAAGAGGTGAAGAGTGTGGTCACCAAGTTCTTGACTGAAACACTTGATGTTCCTAATCCGGATTTGGCTCATGCTTATTGTATTGGCAACAAAGGCGCACAACCTCGTGCCATTATTGTTAAGTTTGTGGATCAAGCTCAACGTGATATGGCTTTAGCTAACAAGGCCATTCTCAAGGGACGGAGGATTTGGTTGGATCCAGATCTTACACCTCTTCAAGTTGAAGCAAGGAAGAAGGAGCTTGCAAAAGTCAAAGAAGCTCAAGATGCAGGTTTTGTAGCTTATCTACGTGATAGTCAAGCTATTATCACCAAGAGGAGGAGACAATCATCAACCTAGCAATCCAAGAGATTGAGGGTGTTGATGTGGAACATAAGAGGCCTATCTACAACTAAGTATGTGAGTGCACATCCGATTTGGAAGATGACGGACATCCTCAACATTGTTGAGACTTGGGAGCATGAAAGTAATGTTATTGGAGAGATACAAGGGTTTACTCTGGTGGGATCTACTTGGAACCATAGAAATCGGCGAGCAGGAAGAGGCTTTGGAGGCATTGCTACTTTCATCAGATCTGAACTTCTTCCTATGATACATTTGGAAAGCCAAGATATTGGGAAACAATATCATTGGCTTCGTCTTGGATTCATTGGAGGATCTTACAGTTATTTGGCAGTTTGTTACTTTGCACCATTATCCATGCAGATCTACTCCACAAGCACTTGCAATCGAAGTCAACCATTCCATCGGCTCATAGGAGATGTTCTCAAATATCAAGACAAAGGTGAAGTTTTTCTTGTTGGAGACTTCAATGCCCGTATATGTTCCGCTCAATTTACACAATTTGATAGTTCCTTGTTTTCTCACTCTTTTGAAGAAAGTAGAGATAGTTTGTGGTCTAGAGTCTCTTGTGATTCTTGTACAAATGATTTGACTGAGCATTTCTTGACTTTTGGAGCCACTTGTAATCTGAAAGTTCTCAATGGTGTTTCTTTCTTTCCCAACTCTCACTCCAATACATGTTTTTCCTCTACTGGTGTTAGCACTATAGATTATCTTTTGTCCTCTGCCACTAATAGTTCATTTATCTCAGCGTTTGATATTCTAGAGCCTCAACCAGAATCAGATCATACACCTCTTTTATTTACTCTTTTGTTGTCAACGTCAATCCCTCTCCCTACATGTCACTTTGTTTCTACTTCCCCCAAGTTTTGTTTAGATGCTAGTGAGAAGCAACTTTATAGTGAACATTTCCAAGACCTCTTGACTTGTACTACTTGGAGCCTTGATCCACATACATCTAGTTTGCAACTAACTGAGTTGCTCCAAAACTCTGCTTCCAAGTTCTTTTTGAGACATAAGACCAGGAGAGCTAGAGGTCTTCCTTGCAATGGATGGTTTGACTTTGATTGCAAGCAAGCGAGGGCAAGATCACTTGATAAATCCTTGGATCTTCACAATCGGTTGATTATGACAAGACTTTACAAAGACTTGGTGAAGTCCAAGAAACGAGCATTTTTGAGGCAGAAGCAAGAATGCTTGACAAAGGAGCTCTTGGAGAATCCCAAATCCTTTTGGAGGCGGTTGGCATTACGATCTTCTAAACCTACTCTTGATCCCAAGTCTTTGATTTCTTTTGCTGAAAAGCTTTATTTTTTTCCCAATGTTGCATCTATGCCACATTGTGAAGGAAATCCAGGCTTATTTTCAGAAGTTGAAGTGATGACTCAACTCAGACAATTGGCAAATGGTAAATGTGAGGATTTGGATGGGTTTTCCATTGAACTTCTCAAGTGGGGAGGAGATGCTATTGGGCCTATACTCACGAAAGTGTTAGAGGATGCTGCTATTCATGGCTTTCCTTCATCTTGGTCTCTACGGAAGATTGTTCCTATTCACAAATCTGGGAGCAAGGCCTTGGTGATAAACTATCGCACTATCATGGTGGGTAGTATTTTTGCCAAGTTATATGGCAAATTGGTGGAGTCAAAGTTGAGCACATGGGCTGAATCTTGTCAAAAGAGAGCTCGGTTCCAAGCTGGTTTTTGTCCTACATTCAACACTATAGACCATATCTTGGTTTTTACGTGTTCTATGGGAGAAATCCAAGGGTAATGGAAAAGCTTTGTTTTGTGCCTTCATTGATTTCAAGAAAGCTTTTGACACAGTACCTCGTGAGCTTTTATGGCAAAGATTGCAAACCATTGGAGTACCATCAGATCTCTTGGCAGCGGTGGCTGCATTATACCACTTAGTTCGGGCCAAGATCAACACTTCTCAAACCGAAGAGATTATCAGCACCATTGGAGTCATTCAAGGTTGTACTCTCTCTCCCACTCTCTTTGGAGTTTTCATAGATGATATAGAAAGGTGGTTGGAGGATTGTGATAGCGAAGGTGTTAAACTTGGAGGCTTTGTCATCAAAGCTCTTTTGTATGCAGATGATGTCATATTACTAGCACGTGATGCCACTAGTTTACAGAAACATCTCAACACTTTGGCTAGCTTTTGTACTCAAAATCAGATGGAAGTCAATTTGGAGAAGTCCAAAGTCATTCTTGTGGGCACTAGATCCAAGCTCTCTTTCTGTTACAAAGGATTAGAGTTGGAACAAGTGAAAAGTTACAAATATTTGGGCATTGATTTCTCATCTGATTATAGTTGGGCACTTTGTGTGCAAAAGAGGATAGAAGCTGGTTTCAAAGCTCTATATTCATTGCTAAATAGATGTAGAGGAGCTCATATAGTGTCTTGGAGTCTTAGGAAATTCTTATTCAGGAGCTTAGTGTTTCCCGTTATCTTATATGGAACACAAGTGTGGGGTCTTGGTTGTAAGAAGACAGGTTGGCAGCGTTTGGAGAGGGTGCAAAAGATCTTCTTACAAGAAGAATTGGGTGTGAGGACCCAAATTTCTTATGCAATTCTTCTTGCGGAAACTGGTTGTCTACCTCTTGAGGCTGAAGCTCTCTTTTTGACTATCACTTACGTCAAAAGAGTGAGATCTCTTGATGCTTCTCGACTTCCTCTTGAAGCTTTGCGTGCCACACGTCCCAAGGGTTGGTTTGCAGATGTGGTGACTTG